ATTGTATAATGTGTTACAGGCTTCTGTGCTCTGCATCATCTATGGAGTATGCAGTGGTGTAGGGGGATGGTAGGGCTGATGTGTGAGTGGTTGAAGAATTTACCAGAGGCAGAAGTGCAAGCAGAAGTGGGAGTGCCCGACATGAGACCTGAGCAGGTCCAGGCCTTGCAGCAGGGAGGGTGTCTTTAAATGGTCTCAATCACAGGAGGAGGGCCTTCACTGTAACCGGGACCCTGGTCCCCTGTCTCCAGGGTACCCATAACAGGGAGCAGAACTTGTTCAATTTTCTCACTGTGACAACTGTCCCCCATCAGAAACATGCTCTCCCCGGCCCAGTGAATATATCCACAGAGGACAGATTGGGTTCAGGGAAGGTATATGCAGGTTCAGAGCAACAAGAAAGAAATGGCAGAGACAGACAAAACCAAAGAGATGGAGAAAGAATACAGACACAGAGATCAGAAATGGTATGAAACAGTGGGCACAGACCCTCTGTCCTATCTTCTTGATCTTTATGTCAGGAGAAGGCAGCTGGGTAGGAAATTTAGAGACCAAGTTTGGAGCCCTTTTCTGCTCTAAATGGCTTTGAGATCCTGGGTAAATCCTTTTCCTCCCACAATCCTTAGCTTCTCTATCTATCAATGTTCTGTAAGGCTCCTTTCATTTCTTTCTTTCTTTCTTTCTTTCTTTCTTTCTTTCTTTCTTTCTTTCTTTTAGCAAAATTTTTGCTATAGAGCATGTGTGCTCGCCAGAGAGACAGAAAGTGAGAAATCACCTCCCAGGGAGGATGGCCACACCTCACTCCCTTCTCCTCCATTCTCCTCTTGGAATGTTGGGCATGCATGCACATGTGCCTGGTGTGAGAGTCAAGCCTCCAGGTTCAGTACTCAAACCGCAGTTGATCATGTGGGAATCCAGCAACGTAATCATTATGCCATCTGCTGGTCCTTCATTTCTAAATGTCTCCACTTATGATTCCTCAACTGTCTCTTCCTGAATCAGAAGACACTTCCACTCACAGGTACGTGCAGAGTTTATTGAGAAAAATCAGTCAGTACATATATACCATGAGATACCACTCAATTCACATCACAGACATAGGATAAACAATTTCATAATAAGTTAGGGGAGAGCTGACCTGTCCCTTGCAGGACAGCCTGCAGGACCTTACAACACGAATACATGTCATTATAAATAACACAGTAGACTAGTTGGTCATTTTCAGACCTGAGCCCAGCCAGTGGGATTTTCAGCTGCGGAGTGAGATCTGCTTAGACCCAGATTTTTCCCAGCAATGCCCCAGTCCCAGAAGAGAGAATTCCAAAGTAGCAGAGGGTTTTTTTTTTTTCCCCCAAATATCATCATTTGGTTAAACACAAAGGCCTTTTCCATCTCTCTTCCCTTCAAAGTGGGCTTACTCCCACAGAATCTCACAGGGTGTCATTCACCCCTGGATACTTAGGCTTCTTGTTAAGCTGCAGACGTTTCTTGATGATTCTTGTCAATCCAGGCTAGAAAGATGTCGAGCTCTCCCAGAGATTTAATTGCAGCAGAATGGACTTCCAGCTGAAACAGTGAAGTTATCATCAGAACCTGCCTTTCGGGGCTATGGAGTCGTTTTCAAATCACTTTCCCCATAATCAGATCCCCATACGACTTTCTTTTTATTTGTTAAATATGTTTGCATAATGGTGAGACTCAAAATTATCTTCCTTTTTTTAATAAAATTTTATTTAATTTTATTTATTCATTCATTTATTAATTTGACCAGAGAGAGACACAGAGAGAAAGAGGGAAAGTGAGAAAGCAAGCCGCCAGGTCCGGGACTCAAACCATGGTTGGCCATGTGGGAGTGTCCAGCGCCTCAACCACCACGCCACCTGCTGGTCCCAAGACTCAAAATTATCTTCCTAACAGGCAAGTAAAATTGTTTCCACAAACAAGCAGATAAATCACGTCAGCTCTTTGTAAACAAAAAATTCTTCATTCTTCTCCCTGTTTTTCCCCCCCCCTCCCTGTTTTTCATGGGAAAAGTTTGCCTGGCTGGCTCGACCTGCTTATCTTTTTCACATCAGCTTGTTTTAGGACTGCTGTTCTCCCAGAGGTAATTGCTGCGGTGCTCCACCGTGGGGCGGGAGGGCATGCTGTCCTCACAGGGCTGTGCATCAAAGCAGCCAGGCTCCCAAGAATGAGTGTCCTACCCAATGGCACACGGTCCCTCAGTAACAGAGCAGAAACTGGAACCCAAGGCTCCTGGCCTCCCTTCACCTCCTTCCTCACAGACTAAAAGGAGGAGGTAAGATCTGAAAGCATGTTCTGTGGATCCAGCTAGAGTGGGATCGAGTCCCACCTCTACCACGTAGTGGCAGCAAGAACTTAGTTAACCTACTTAAGCTGCTCGTGCCTCGCTTTCATAATTTATCCAACACAGATAGTGACTGGTGGCATTTTGTGAAGGATAAATGTGTTAATCCTGGTGTGAATTGATTCGTGTGTCTTGTGAGACTGGCTCATAATAGAAATCATAGGACTCAGCTCTTTCTAGAATATCCTCCATAGAGTCTCTCCACAAAGAAGCGGAGCTCTGAACAGACCCCCTACCTCTGTGCTGGGCAGAGCATTGGCATCATTTGGGACGCTCAGGTCTTACCCAAGACCCACTGAATCAGAACCTGTGTTTTAGCAGGATGGCATCTACACCGGCATCTATAGGAGGCCTGCATTCCACATCGACGCCCACGGGGAAAACACTGTGTCTTCATCTCTACACAAAATGCTGATGACAGATTCCCACCACAATGACGCCACCAGGGAACACATTTTCACACAGAACCGCTTAGAATTTACTGCCCTCTCTGCTTCCTCTGCATCATCCCCATCTTGAGCACTATGTGCTGTCCCCAAATTATGTTACAGGTCACACCAGACACATGAGGGAATAAGAAAATAGTAGATGGGGGGACTAGCAGGTGGCAAAATGGTTACATTGCTGAACTCCCATGTAGCTGACCGCAGTTCAAGTCTCAGACCCGGTGGCTTGAACCTCATGCTGGACCCTGTGAATGTATGCCCAAGATCCCAAGAGGAAAATGGAGGAGGAGGGATTGCAGTGTGGCCATCCCCCCAGGGGAGTGATTTCTCACTTTCTGTCTTTGTCTCTCTCTATCTCTCTGGCAAATGCACGCTCCCTATAGCAAAAAAATGTCTCTTAAACAAAAAAACAAAAAAAAAAAAAAAAAAAAAAAACGGACCAGCAGAGAAGAAGAAGTGAATGGACGATGGAGAAGGAAAGCCCAGGGAATTAACAAACACTAATTTGCACACTTTGCAGACACATAGAATTGGAAGAGCCCACAGTCGATACTTGTTGAGTGAAGAGGGGGTGAGTGGAGGCTCTGCTTCTCACTTTCCATCTTCCCCTTCCTCTTCCCAGACCTCACCTGGTCATAGTTGTCATGGACGATTCTGGTAGCATTGGTGACCTCTGGCCTGCAGTGACAACGCCTCTGCTTCTGCTGTGATAAAGCGGAGATAGCACCTGTCAGAGGACGTCCTCCTGCCACTTTTCCTCATGAAGAGTGGCATCTCTCCTCCCTCCCACAGTGAGAATCAGGTGAGTAACCTCAAATGGGAGAAGCTGGGGGAGATAGGGTCTGTTTGTAGAGTCACCCCTGCATTTGACAACGACTTTTGCTTTTTCCAGATTGACAACCCACCAGACTGTCAGCACCTCGTCTCTCTTGTCACCATTCTGAATGCAGCATGCCACAAGGGAGGCACTCAGTGAACCTTTGTTGGGTTAACCAATTAAACAATTAGTTAACTGAATCCCTTTGATTTCATTACAGTATGAATATAAATAGGGCAGGGTGCATTACTCCTCTAATCATTTCAGAATCTGAATCACAGAGAGGTGAAGTCACTTGTAATAAAACCACACAGGCAATCACCAGCCGGGATAGGCCCAGAACCCAGATTTTTCTCCTGGTCTAAGTTCCTGTTGGTTTGCTTTATTTTCATTTCTGATATTTGATTTACTAGATCGCAATGAGTTTGTAGGTAATTCCTAGGGATAAGCTATAACTAGGAAGTACCCAAAGGCTAACTGGTATGGGAACCCCAAAGGGCCAGAAACTAAAAGGGGTATCCTTAAAGTAAAACTGGGGTTGTTGGCATGCCTCTCTCACAGGCCAGACTTGCAGCTTCTTGGGCATTCTGTCACATAAGCTGTCACCCCGGAGGACTGCCCACGAGGAGACCCGTCTAATGAGGTGTCAGTAGGGAGGAAAACCTGGAGAAGAAGGGGCCCCTGGAGGAGGTTCTCAATAGCTCCCCCCACTGAGTGATGGGAAAAGGAATTTCCTTTGACCCCAAGAACCATATCAGAGGGCCAACTGGGGGCAGCTCTCTCTTTAGGGCAGATGGGGAACAAATGCTTGGAATCCTGTGACTCACACATTGCTGCAGAGTTCTCTGCATGTAGAGGAAAGAGTTGGCAATGCTGCTGATTTTTCTCAAGATTTGGGGGTTTGGTTCCTTGTGATCCTTGAACACTCTGTCCACGTAGAATGCCAGGAGGTTCTTGGTCACACAGCATGCATCTAAGGGCTATAGGAAACATGTCAGAAAACTCCCCAGAAGCCCTCTTCTCATGTCCTCTTAGAGTATTTGGGTAGGGGCAGCAAGAAGAGAGAGAACTGAAAGTAATTTTTAAAACTCATAATGGCCTGGGAGTGTTCATCCACTCTTAACCACATCAAAGCTACCTATGATGGCGATGACGAGGAGAAATTTCAGTTCACCCCCTTTTGGTACAGCCTGGAGGTATTAACAAAGGATGGATCCCAAACTCCAACCATAGGTTAAAATTCCCTATAGGTCATTCGTGCATAACATTCGGGACTAATCTCTGCCCAGCTCCTTCCAGGAATCAGGAGCCTCCTTTCGAAGAGGACTGAGTGCTTACTTGAAAAGTACAGTGAAGAGGCTGGAGGTGGCCTCTCTGTAATGCCTCCCATCCACCAGCCTTCAATGGCTGTCACATGCAGGTAGCATTTTCGAGACACATATTCCTTTCACTATCATGACATTGTGTTTAACCTGGCCCCCCGCTTTGATCGCATTGCTGAGCTCTCTTCCAGCCTGTCCTTTATAAACTGCAGGGATCATCTGAATGAGGCTGAGATTTGCAAGAATGGAGATTGACAGGTACAGAAATGGGTCCCCCTGGGTAGGTCTGCAGCCTGCAGAGTGTGCAGCCTGATTCAGACACACAACCCTGAGAAAGTGGCTAGACAGTTTCCTCTCTAGCAGTTTACATCCCACCCACTGGAGAGCCAGGGAATTACTCCGCGGAAGGTTTGCCACTCAGTCTAAGTAGGTAGTGGTTTACAGCCTGACGTGCATAGGTCTTCATTAGCACTAGAGGAGCGAAGCCTCTTTGGCCTCAGTGGAAGCTTTTCCTAGATGGCAAAGCCTACTTGCAAGACAAAAACCTTTCTCTTCTACAGCTCCAACTGGTTCCCTTAAAGCAGGGAGGAGAAAGTGACATACTTCTGTATTACTGTGGTAATGTGGGGCTGGCTCCATGGCATAGCGTTAACATTCTGCTTAGAAGGCAGATCCCACATAGTGACTGTGGTTCAAATCCCTAGCTGGTCAGCATGAAGCACACTGGGCATGTGTGCACGAGCGTAGTGTGACCACACTCTGTTGAGTGTGCTCCTCTCTCTCTCTCAGGCACACACATTCACACTCTAACATAAAAAAGAAGGGAAAAAGTGTATGAAGATTGTGGTCATAGAAAAAGGAATACAGTCAAAAAAAGAAAGGGAGGTCAACAGGTAGCATAGTGGTTAAGGCACTGGACTCACATGTGGTTTATCTCACTTAGAGACCCAGACCCGGAAGCTAGAAACTCATGCACCATGTGCATATGCACAGGTGCCCAAAATCCGGAGAGGAGAATGAAGAAGGGTTTGCAGCGAGGCCATCCCCCCTGGGGGATGATTTCTCTCTTTCTCCTTCTGTCTCTCTCTGTCTCTCCAGCAAGCACACGTGCCCTAGAGCCAAAATCTCTCCAAAAAGAGAGAGAGAAAAAAAAAGAAGAAAAAAGGAAAGAAAGAAAGATAAAGACCTGAATCCTGACCAACGGCTTTCCTTATTCCACATCAGCATTTCTCTACCTTGAGAGGAGAAAGAATCTGGAGACAGAGGCGTGAGCAGGGGTCTGTTCCTGGCTCAGCCATTAGCTAGGGATCCTTTCTCCCAAAGTCCTGATTTCTGCATTTGAAAATGATGGTTTAGCATAGACGATTTTGGGGTTCCTTCCAACTGCAATATCTTATGAGTCAGCTGGAATATTGTTTACTAAGCAGCCAGATCCATTCGCCACAAATTAATTACTGCCTAGGAGACTTATGGAGGTGTCTCTCTCACAGGTAAAGAAGCCTGAGGGGGAAAAAAATCGTTACAGATATACCTTGTACTCTGTCACATAAATCCCTGAAAAAACAAAATGAATCTTTCTAAAATGCTTTCAGGGGCTGGAGGAGCTCACTTTTAAAGGCACCTCTCACATCTTTTCGTAAAGTGAATTGTCACCTGGTAGGTCACCCGGCTTGTAGCAGACTCTCACCACCTCCTCTTGGTACCGCTGGATCGATGCTCTCACTGGATTTCCTGCCTCAGTTGTGAAGAACATTGCCAGACTGTCTTTCTAAAACATCTTGTGGTCATGTGGCTTTTGGCTCAGAAACCCTCAGGGGCCCCAGATGCTGTGGTCTGACAATAACAATAGTGCCTTCTACGTCTGGAATCCATGTGGCTGACCATGGCTTTGGGTCCCCAGATCAACAATGGGTGAGTACCCAAAATTCTGAGGAGCTGAGGGAGTGGGAAAACAGGATCACAGGGTGATGAGACCCTGTTGAAGGTGCTTCTGGGTACTTCCTCTCTTTCTCGTACACACACACACGCACACACACACACACACATGCTTTCAGCCATGGTAAAAGTCTTCAGCGGGCTCAGCCACAGTGGCACACAGGTATCACTATTCTATGGGGGCTGGAAGCCACTTGGGGAAGCCCAGGTTTGGGTCCTGGGTTAAGCTGTACATACCAGGCATGGTTGTGCATGGCTATAGTCCTGGCTAATTGCGAGGCTGAGGCAGGAGGATGGCCACAGAGCGAGACCCCCTTGGGGATGCCTCTCTGTTCTCTGTCCCTTTCCCCTCCTCTGTCCCTCTCCACCACAATGCTGAGGCTCAACCTGCTTTCAAGAGCCTTTGTAAAGTAACCCCAGGGTAGATTTGCCCTCATCCCTCACCACTTACCCCCGTGTCCCTACAGCACAAGCCTGCTCACCTCACCGTCCTCCACACGGTCCTACCTTTGCTGGTCTTACTCACTTTCCCACGCCCCTCAGATCTCTTCTTCCTTTAGTCCGCTCTACAACCGCTCAGGTTTTAGGTCACCTTTCATTTTCTCAAATTCCTCCATGGAACCTTCCAAAATGACCCCCAAGTCACAGAAATCCTAGTCTCCCAGTCACTCTCTAGAGCAGTGGCACTTTTTTAATCCCTCCCTGGGGGTTCACGTCCTTGGGCACTAGGGTGCCCTAACATAGCAGCTGGCAAGTGAAAAGCCTAGAGCATTTAGTGTTCCCTGGAGACTAGGAAAGAAAAGGGGGCTGGGGGTGAGAGATTTCTCAGCCCAGGGCCATTATATCATAAAGATAAAAATCCAGGAAAGAGCAGGAATGATACCTTAATGCTCTCGAGGGTCTCCGATGTGGACAGGATAGTCACATTCTGGAAGGCGTCCTTAGCTTGCTGTGGAGGGAAACATAAGCACAAATGCAAAATCTGAGACCTCCGTGTTCTCCTGAGACACTAAAGATAATGAGAAGGAACTCGCTTTTCAAGCTTGGTGTAAGGAGAGGCACACTCCTTCGCCCACACCTTCACCCTGATCCATACTCACGATGTCTCTTTTGATTTCTTGGAAACTCTCTTCTATATGGTGCATGTCCAGGGAAATCAGACACCTCCTGAGCCCACGGATGTGCACTGAGCACAGGATGAGTGTTGCGCTCAAGAACCAGAGGGAAACACACGGTACCTTCATGTCCTGCAGGAAGGGTGGAAGTCAGCGCCCAGCCGAGAGCAGAGAGTAATGAGAAAGAAGACCTCGGATTAACCCCCCCATGGGCATTGCAGGGCAGGCCAGCAGGCAACCAAGAAAACAAGACTTGGTACCTCAACCTGGCAGCGCTCAAGAGCTATGCGTCTCTTCTTAAGTTTTCTAAATCAGTCGAATATGATGCCCCCACTCAACCATGCTCCCACGCTGCCCCAGAAATCACAGGACAACATTCTCTTAAGTCCTGGGGAGCACATCTGTGAGGATAGCATTCTACCGTGACTCAACACAGTTCACTTTGTCAACGGGAGTGAAAAGCATGGTTTCCAATCAATTAAATGTGACAAGCAGGGCTGGTAATGCACCCTAGGAATTAGGCAACAGATCTGAAAAACCATAAAAGCACATTTGGTTATTTTATGTTTGTCCCTGAAATAGGCGACACTTTTTCATTATAAACCCCCATGTGTATCTGCTTAAAATCATTTGTTTCAAGCCAACTATGCAGATTTTGCCTTCTGGAGAAGATGGAAAAGGGAAGTTCAAGACATCTCATAACTAATCAGTCACAATAAGGAGATGGGAAAGGGAGCTCCTGCAGAGGACACATTGGTGGCGTCCCGTTCACCGTCCCTCGTCCCTGAGCCAGCAGGCATGAGAGACATTTGCAGCTGGCCAGTTCCAGCCAGGGCCAGACCTGAGATCCTTGCTGCCACTCCTGACTCTGTCACACTTTTTGCTTCCACCTTTCTGCCTCTTTTAATTTAAACACTTTAAATCAAGGCACATACTGCACACAGAGGCAAGTGCGTAAAATGTAATTATGTGGCTTTCTAAGTTATCTTTCTCTGACTTTCCCCAACATACCACGAGTCTCCCAAACAGAGCATGGGAGTCCAGCAACATAGCCATTACTCCCAAACAGAGCTGAGCCTTGCAAGTAAATCTTCCTACACCCTCCTCCTAGGAGCCGCCCTGCTGCTACCCCAGCTGCGTGTGCTGGGGCATGTGCAGTGTGTGTGTGGCAGTGGAGAGGTAGAGGTCCCAGACATGGCAGCCAGCGGGCTGGGGGCACCCGCTCCTAACTCCTACTTAGGGTTATGGTGGCTGTCACTGTAAAGAACACACACAATGGGGCGGCAGATGGTATGGAGGGCAGGGTGGCTGGATCCCACATGGCCAACTGCACAATTCGAGTCCCAGACCCAGTGACTTAAGAAACATGCTGGGCACAGCACGTGTGTATGCACTCCCAGAATACTGAAAGAAGAACAGAGAAGAGGGGATTGAGGCATGGCCATCCCTCCAGTGGGTGATTTCTCCCTCCTGTCCCCCTGCCTCTTTCTGGTGACATACCCTATAGCAAACCGGGGGAAAAAAATTGAACACACACAAAATGTGAACCACAACTGACCCCACATCTTCCTCTGGACTTCTAGCTCCTTCCCAGAAAGCCAAGAAACAGCAAGTCGTCTTTGGGAAACCCTTTTTCCCTGTCTCTCCTTAACTCAGCATCGTTCCCATGAAAGGGACAGCCTGTATGAGCCCTCACCCTGCAGCGGGCACTATGCTGAAGAGCCTGATTTCACTTTATTCAATCTCTTCCTTTCTGACAAAATAAGGAAATAGACCCCACGGGCCGAGAAGTCTGTGGAGAGTCTCCCCCAGACTCTGTCCCCTCCAAAGGCAGTCCTGACCTCCAAAGGCCCACGCAGACATCAGCAGCAGGTAACGTTTATAGACACACCACGTGGGCTGGGCACCCTGCCATGCACTCTGGGTCATCACCTTAGTTAATGCTCACACCCACCCTCTGAGGTAGTCCTGTCTCTTACCCCCATTTTGCTAAAAGGGAACTGAGAGTTAGAGATGTGCAAAGCCAGGAACTGAGGGAAGGCAGGCCGACACAGGCCCGCTGTCCTTCCCTCCCCACACCCTCTTTTTCATTATTTCTTTTGGAGAGGCTTTTGCTATAGGGTGCATGCGCTCACCAGAAAGACAGAGAGAGACAGAGAGATAGAAAGCAAGAAATCATCCCCCAGGGGGGATGGCCACACTGCAATCCCTTCTCCTCCATTCTCCTCTCGGGATCTTGGGCACACACGCACATGCTCCCGGCGTGAGTTTAAGCCGCCGGGTCCAGGACTTGAACCACGGTTGACTACATGGGAGTCCAGCGACATAGCTATTTCACTAACTGCTGGTCCCATCCCTCCCCACACCCTCTTACAGCAGTGTTTACCTCAGCTAAAGCACCCACCCTTTCCCATACACCGAACAAGCAAGAATGCGTTTCTTGTGACACACACGCACAGTGGAATATCACTTGGCTGTTCAAAAGAGTAAAATCCTGTCATTTGCAGCTACATGGGTGAACCCAGAGGACCTTAAGAGAAATAAGCCAGGCACAGCAGGAGAAATACTACATGCTTCACTGGCACGTGGAAACTGACAACGAAGGCCTCTTAGAGTAGGGATTAGAAGAACAACTCCTAGAGGCTGAGAAGGGGAGGGGAGAGAGATAGAGAGATGGTATTTAACAGAAACAAAATTCCAGATAGCTCAGGGGAACAAGTCCTAGTGTTATAAAGCACGCAGTAAGGCAACTGTAGAGAACAATTTACCGTATATCTCAGAGTAGCTGAATGTTCCCAACATGAAGTAACGACAAATGGCTGAGCTTGTGGATATGCTGACCTAACCATTACACACTGCATTCCTGTACAGAAAATCACGCTGTACCCCCAGATGCATACATGTATTGCATTGCAATAGTAATCATAATCATCATAATAAAAGAACCATTTCTGATTGGGTCCCCTTGAACCAGTGATGCTCCTTACATTTAAAAAGATATTTCATACTGCAAAGGTTTAAAAAAGTGAACACATTATAAAGTGTTCTGCACAGTTCCTGGAGTGGAAAAGCAACAGCAAAAACATTAGGTTTCTTGCCCTTTCCTCCTTCCCTTCCCACTCTCCTGCTTGTCTCACTTAGGAATAAGGAACTAGAAAGTTCGTCCCCGTACAAGGTGCTCATCCCCATTCTACAGAACACCCAGCCATACACTATGATAGCAGCCGAAGGATGAGGGCAGGGATGGTGGTGAAGGGCTGGGTGAGCCTCACCTCTCACGGGTGCCTGCCGCCTCCTCGTGTCTCTCTGTCAGTGCTCTTTGCTGTTTGGAAAGGGTTGGTCACTTTTATGCAGGTGGATAAGAGGAAATGCTGTCAAGGTTTACTGGGTGGGTCCACCTATGGGAGATTGTTTTTTCCCCTCGTTTTCTTAGCGTCTCATTTCCTTAATTGTTTTCTTTTCTCTCTTCTTTGAGATAGAGCTGATTAATCATTATTAAGAAATGCTTCTTTCTTCTGGGTCTTAACATGTAACTTCTAAGGAAAAATAAACTCCCCATCTCCATGCAAATGAGAAATTCTTGCAATTCTGTGTCCATACAGAAAAATCCAAGTTAGGTCACTTTCCTGAGAGCTGTGGCATGCCACCAACTGCACCCTGCAGGCAAGCTCAGGAAAGCACTCTCTGACAGCCCCGCCCTGCAGCAGCAAGCTCCAGAGACTCTGCAGGTGCCTCTGGCTCCGGCCCAGCCCATCTCCCAATGCCTCATCCAGAGATGGAGTGCTGACGTGTACCACGCACCAGCTACATGCTTCACATGAATTATTATGTTTAACTTTATGGGGCTAATCATGAATGCAATAATTTCTCTTTTTTTTTAATTTATTTATTTCTTCCATAAGAAAGACAAAGAGGGAGAGATGGGGGGCACCCCCGACAGGATTTTCATAGCACAGTCCACCCCCAGCCTCAGCCTCAGCCCACCCAAATCACAGGCACAGCATGTGAGTGTCCGTGTGTACAAAGAGGCCTCAGGATGTGAACCTGGAACCTTCCCATGTCATCTTGGCATTGCAGAATGTTGTTACCACTGTGCCATGGTAGCTAGCCCATGGATGCCAGGACTTTCTTACACATCAGCTTCTTTCTTCTTCGTCTTATGCCCTGGAGGGTCCTTTCATCCTTGGTTAATGCAGAGAGAGAAAAATGAAACTGAGACATAAAGGAGCTTAAGAGCAGCAAGTGGCAGAGCCAGGAACAGAACCTGGAACCCTTGCTCCTTGGCCAGAAAACTCTCCTAACTAAATCGCTTTTTAACACAAACTCTCTAATCTGGAGTTCACCAAGGACCACAGTTTTGGGTGATGAGCTATAAACAGTTTTCTCTTCCAACATGAACTCCTGGAAGAAATGGAACTTGTTTTCACCCAAAGATTCTCAGATGAGGTGCAATTACAAGAGACCCCGATCAGTCTGGTCTAGTTCCCGCTTCCACAGCCAGACTAGGGAGACAGAGAGGCACACAGAAGACAGACAAAGAAACAAGAGGAACAGGTAGGATGGGGGCCTTTTTATGGGATAAATACAAGGGGGAAAGCCCCAAGGGCTGGAAGCATCTTGGACAAAATAAAATAACACGTGTTAATGGACGTCATGGTTCACATGCAATCCTGGATTTAAACCCTGGCTCCCCTTCATCTCCATGAGACCCTGGACAAGCTATTTACAACCTTTCTGAGGCTCCGTAAGATGGGGGAAAGAAATTGCAAGGATTAGAATGAGCTAATGGGCCTGTATCATAGTAAGCACTCCTATGTATTGTGAATTCCTATGCTGTGTGCCAGGTACCAGGAAAAGGAGAAAGCACTTCATTAGGATGTAATGGACATCTCTCTACTCCTTCGGGAGAGAGGGAAAGAGCTGGATTCCAAGGATCCTCCCCGCTTCCACCCATTTCTCCAGAGGAAAGGGCAGGGGGAGGTGGGAGCAGTTTTCCCAGCACGGCCTGAGCTGCCTGGCTCAGAGCTCTCGGATGGCAGCCCAGCCCCTCAAGTGAGAGTACGGCCACACCATCCATGCTGAGTCCCACCACACGCTCATCCCCTTATGCCCACATTGTGTGTTCTGAC